AGGGGGAGGGGGAGACACTTGGGGGCGGGGGCCCGGGGTTTAGTTCCCTGCTCTGCCACTGACTGTGGTCTTGGTCACATCACTTAAACCAGGGGCAGCCCCGGCTTCCCCTCCCGGGGCGGGGGAACAACTCTTCTGTGCGTCAGAAGGGGGCTGTATTGAAACGAGGAGGCAGGGAGCAGGGGTGAGTGCTGAGTTTGGAAGGCAGACTAGGGGATTTAGGCACCTCCCTCCAACAGGCCAGGCCTCGCACTCACCGGAGCTGTGGTCTTGGTCACATCACTTAAACCAGGGGCAGCCCCGGCTTCCCCTCCCGGGGCGGGGGAACAACTCTTCTGTGCGTCAGAAGGGGGCTGTATTGAAACGAGGAGGCAGGGAGCAGGGGTGAGTGCTGAGTTTGGAAGGCAGACTAGGGGATTTAGGCACCTCCCTCCAACAGGCCAGGCCTCGCACTCACCGGAGCTGTCCCCGGCGGCGTCTGCGGCCCTCGGGACTGCTACAGGAAGGTGTGCCTTGTCCCTGGCCAGGAGGGAGCCCGGCTGGAATGGACAAGGGGGTTAGTAGCTGAAGGCAGCCCCGTGCCTCGGTTTCCCCAAAAGGATGTCCCTTCCACCCCCAACCCCAGTCCAGCTGGGGATCGCAGCTGGCAAAGGACCCAGGTCCCCGGGCCCCGCTGCTGTACGCACGAGGCTCCCCCTTGCTGTAGCCTCCCCGGCCCCCAGAGCTGGGGGAGAGCCCAGGCATCCGGGCTCACCGCCCCCCACCACCTACCTGGGCATCCTCTGGGCCACATCTGGAGCGGGGGGAGCTGCACAGCTGGCAGGAGGGGCCCCATCTTGACTCTTCCCATGAACCTGGAGAGGGAGCAGATTCTGGGTGCATCTGCCCCTTTAAAACCCCCCCCCCCCCCCCCCCCCCCCACACACCCACAGAGCAGGTATCCTGCCCCAAGGGTGCTGGGACCCAGGACCCCTGGGTTCAATCTCTGCTTTGGAAGGGGAGCAGGGGCGGGAGAAGCCAGGATGCTTGGGGTCTTTCCCCGCCAGCTCCAGGGAAGGAGTGCAGGCTCGTGGCTAGAGCCGGGGGGGGCTGGAAGGAGCCCCCTCCCCATACCAGTGATGGCGCTGTAATAAGACGAGTCCTCGTCATCATGGGAGGTCGACCCCCCAACATCCACCGAGGGGTCCCACTCCAGGTCCTCGCTGCCCCTGTCCAGGGGCTGCTCCAGCGTCCGGCACGGGGTGGACTGGGGCACGAAAGCAAGGGGCCCCGGTCCCCTCTTGGCCTCTGCTTCCAGGGAGGAGCAGTCAGACAGCGCGTCGGTCTCCGGGTCCGAGAGCCGCCCGTCCTCGAAGACCTGACGGGGGTGAGAGGAGAGGATGGAGAGGGGAATCCCCATTCCCTGCTGACCATACAGGGGCCATGACACACCTTGGAGCCTGGTTGAGTCCCTCCAGCAGAGGGCATGAAACACCCCGCAGGCATCAGCCTCCATTGCCTCAGTCCCCATAAGGATGTGAGCAGGGAGCTGTGTCTGTGGGGGCAGGGGCTGGGGGGCAGCCACCTCTGGGGAGGGGAGGGGCAGCTGCACCTGCAGGGGGGTAACCTGCACTGACCGAGGGAGGAGCAGAGCAACCCCCACCCTCCTAGTGCTGGGACCCACAGGGGATGATGCAGCTGTGTCTGGGGTGTGGCACCTGCACTGTACAGAGTTAGTCTATAAGGTGCATGGGTACCCTGACACGAGCTTGCTCACGCAGGACAGGGACGGGGGCAAGAGCGCAGCACCCCCGAGGGCTGGGGGTGCCACAGGCTACAAGGAGAGACCTGCCCCCGCGGCGCAGTCTCCCATCCAGGAGTCAAACACAGCTGCCCCTTGCACCTGGAGGGGACACGAGGTGGGAGTCCACCGGGGCTAACCCCTGCTTAGCTTCCGGGTGTTTCCCCCCGGGGTGACGGGTGTAGCAGCCATGCACCAG